GAACCTTTGTAGACGCTACGGACACGCTAATGATGTAGTGGTCACTGCCTAATGTTTTTTCAAGGTTAGTCCAGGTGGAGTCAGATGAGTTTAACGTGAATTGCAAGTCAGGGAGAAGTGTCGGCACTTACACTGTTTCCGAGCCGCGTAGGTACTGTGGGAAGTGTGATGAGATGAAGCCTGTGATTCTCTACAGCTTTTTCTAACAAATTCCTTTTGGAGAGTCCTGTCAATATCCTCAGCTTGTGTGAGGGGTGTTGAAATCACCTAGGAAAACGAGGCTGTCCTGCTTGCACAAAAGTAAGACTGCCCAAGCAACCAGTTTTTCAAAGTCTGCTCCCTTTTTTTGGGGGCGGGCAATACACATTTACAATAAGCATGCTAGCTTTGTTGCGCTTATGTGCATAAATCTCAATAATTTAGTGAAAAGTTGAACATCTTGTGATGCAATGTACATTTGATGAGATATCTTTAGCCACCAGCATTGCGAATTTCCAGAAATCTTTATTGGATAAGGAATAATAACCCCGTAGCGTGACTGGCTTTGCACCTTTTTCCTGAAGACAAATAATATCTGGCTTGACTAGTCTTGTTTGTATGAACTGGTGAAGAGCTGTCGCGCGCTTATGAAAGGTGCAACAGTTCCAATGCCAGATCTGAAGATGATTTACTTGTGTCCGTCTATTACGTGGTAGATTAACGCAAAATTCCGAGCAGCGTCCCCACCCGAGCAAGCGCCCCCCCCCCCCCCCCTAATTTTGGGAATTTGAATTCGCCGCCCACTTCCGAGCAAGCGCCCCCTATGAAAATTGGCGCCCTAGCTCAGTCTCTAGCCATTGCTGGATCTAGCCATAGCCGTGAGGCTTAGTGTGTGTTCGGTGTGTTAACGTAGCAGTTGGCATTTGTTCGTCGTTCCTCGTGGTCGACTTTGCTGCACGATGCCATCGGTTCTTATACTGTTGAAGAAATTGAGGTGGCTCAATGGCATTGCCAAGGTAAAAGCAATGCGCACGCGACCTCACGGCACTTCAACATTGATCGCAGGATGATTCGCGAGTGATACAGCAAATATGTAGCCTTGCTGCAAAAAAACTTCGGCAAGTCCAAGTCACGACGCAAGCTGAGCAACGGTGCTCCCGCATTAAGCGAAGAGGTCGACGATGCCTCCTACGAGTCTTTTGAAAGTGAGCGCAGTACTGGGCATGCTGTTAGCAACAAGTTGCTTGCTGAAGAGGCTGTGCACGTAGCCAAGAGCCTGCAGCTCGAAAACTTTGTAGCGTCGAACCATTAAATTGCCAGGTGGAAGAAGCTTTTCGGCATCTCCATGCGACAGGCAACGAATGAAAGCCAGAAGACACCGGATGACTACGCAGAAGCAGCGCATGCCTTTCGGTTGTCCGTGAACAAGCTGCGATCGATGCACGACTACACGCCTTTTAATATGGTCAACATGGACCAGACAATGGTCCGCGTGGACTGCCCGGCATCTCGAACAAACATCATCGAAGAAAGTTTTGTCCAGATCACCAATACTAGATATGCAAGGTGAGGATTCACAGCCGTGCTCGCTGCTCGCGCGTCAGGCCACAAACTTCCGGCCTTCGTTATTTTGAAGGAGCCAAGCGGCAGGATTCCAACGAAAGCTTTAGCGAAAATCCGTGTACCAGGCGGGTTTCTATTTCTTTTTTTTCCTTGTTAGTGGAAGGTAGCGAGATCACGCTATATTATTATTTTTTTTCTTATATTGAACGTCTATGTGACAGCATCAAAGAACAGGTGGATGACATCTTAAAAATTCCAGGAGTGGCTGTCAAGAGTGTTGGGTCTAAAGACCGACGACATTAGGCGGTTGTTGGTATTAGACCAAGCTCCTATTCACAAAACGCAGGCAGCAAAGAATGCCGTGGAGGAGCGAAATACAGACATCGCATACGTGCCGGCTGGATTCACAAGTTTATTGCAGCCAGCCGACGTGTACTGGAACCGGTCTTTCAAAGCCAGCCTTCGAAGGAGCTGGGAGGAATTCATGCACTTTGCAGAAAGAACTCTGAAAGGAAATCTGCGGAAACCGTCGCGTCAGGACATACTAAATATTGTGGCCGCAGCATGGGACGCTGTACCAGAGGCGACCATTATTCAGAGTTTCAAGGGCTACAAAATATTGAATGCACTGAATGGATCGGAGAAGGGCCTCCTACATGGCCGGTTGTCTGGCGTTGGCGACATTCGTCCAGAACATCCTGAGGAACTGCAGGCTGAATGCTACAGCCTGTTGTTTGACACAGACTCTGACGGGTCCTTTGATGGATTTGAAAGTGAATAAACAATCATCGAAAATTTCCCAATAAAGCTTTTGTTCACTCTGTACATCGCTCTAAGAAGCCTTTATCATTGTTTCGAAAAGAAAAAACACCGACCGGCTGCCATCTTGAATTTTGCAGCACTTCCGTGCAAGCGCCCCCTCCCCTTTATCTCGGTCATTATCTCCACCTACTGGGGAGGGGGAGCACTTGCGCGGAATTTTACGGATAGCGGCGGTTTTCGCGATGTGTGCCTGTTTCGGCTTACCGCGTACCTGGGCTAGCATTCATGCGTTACTTCTTCACGTTACTTTTACTTTAGTGACACATTTATCGACATAACTTTAAGATTCTGAAATTCAGAATATATCTGCTGCTGAAAAGCTTGCATGCTTGCAAGTTACAGCATAATTTGTGCGAGGGCACATTCAAGTGACCTTGAAAACATTTCATTTTGGCCCTAACCGTGGGCTGTAGTATGAGCGACCACGTGTGGGGTTTGTTTGTGACGATCTTGGAGGGACGCCATCTCTGTCTTCATTTAAACCAGACTCTCAGTGAAGGAGTTTGTTCTGGTCTATAATTCGCTGGTATTCTGGAGTGTTAGTGATAGAAGCAGAGGGAGACTCGACGTTTGCTCGCCTTGCCTCCTTTGGATGAGGCGACCTGGGTCGGCCTGGAGCCTTGCCTTTGCGGCTTCGGGGAGAGCGGGATCTGGCATGTTGTTGCAGTTCAAAAGGACGTTTCTTGTGAGACCTTGACCGAAACCTCGACCGAGATCTTGACCGGGACCGGGACCGGGAGGTCGGCTGCGACTTTGTCTGGGATGTTGTCGCAGACCTTGATATTGAGTAAGAACACTGGAGTCGGGCCTATCAATGGCAGGTGGAAGACTGGGCCAGCCTATGTCCAGGTCTTCGGCATCCGAGCTGAACCATCCGAGATGCTTCTTCGTCTTTGTCATAGCGTGCCCTAGTGGCAAGTTCGGTGTTTGCTCGTTGGAAGTGTTCTAGCAAGTGTGGCGCAGAGGTTTGAGCCTCTTCTTGAAAGTGCGATCTCCCGTGAGGTGATCATCGCCACAAGTTGCACACTTGGGCGAGCATTCGTGACTGGGAACAGGATCTCGCATGCCACAAATGTGACACACTGGAGTGTCAGGTCGAGGGCATACGTCAGATCTATCGCCAACGTGGTAAACACACTTTGCACACTTGCATGGTGTTCTTGTATGGGTAGCAAGAGAGCTCACCGCCATGGTAATAGATGCAGCGTGGCACTCGTCGACCCTAAAAGGTGATTACCGCGGTCTTAGAATCACCGAGCATCCGTGCATGTAGGACTTCCACGCCTTGTGTGCACACCCGGAAATTCGCCTTGAGCTCTTCGGATAGGATGTGTGGCTGAAGTCCATGTATCACGCCTCGGGTTGCTCCCTTGCATTGACTGCATGCGGCCATCCATTTACCATCAAACTGGCGATGCGACCGACTTTCTCAGCAACCTCTTGGCGTGGCGTAGAGACTATGAATATGTTCAAGCCAGGCTTATTGCGAAGCAAAAATTGCTTACCTGTAATCAAGCCTTCCCATGTGGGTATCACCGCATTGGGGAGCGTCGGGCTTGTGAGATTTTTTACGAGAAGGCCCTAATGCGGCCTCACTATGACCTTGAAATCGTCCCTCCGAAGAGGTGAAAATCTGCGATACTTCGGCTTCCTGCACAGACACTCCTGGGCCCGCCCGTCAGGGGGTGGCGGCTGGCTAGCAACGCCGGCTTCGTTAAGCGTATTTTGCTTGTGCTTGCAAGCGTGTGCCTTTCGCTGACGCAGTGTCAGTGCTACCTGCCAGTCTCTATCCAGCTCCGGCTGCCTGGGACTGCCGGCATCCGATGTATTCGAGTCTCATAAAGTCACAAGATCATGTGCGTCTGCCTTTCATGCCATTGACGTCGTCGCGGCCCGCGTCTAGAGCCGCAGGGGCGTAGGTGGCCATCGGCCGCTCGGGCCTCATTGAGACGCTAGATGCGTCGCTGCTGCCTTCTCACCGTTAGGCTTCACACTTGACCTGGTACGACCAGGGTCGTAGTGATGAGAAAAAGCACGTTCTCACCAACAAGGATAGTATCCAAAGGTGTCGAAAAAGTTCGAGATTCACATCACAGCCAAGAAAAGCCTGCCGCACACAGAAAAATGACCAAAAACTGAAAGTTGCGGAGCTCCATGCAAGCGCATCGGCACTCTTCGGCACCCCTAGCGGCCGCCGACTATGCTTAAAAAATGTTGCAGGAGGCCCCTTTAAGTTTAAAGTGGAGCTTCTTGGCAGGGCAGATTTCCCCTGTAAAAATATTTTCACGGCTTAGCACACCTACACTGAAGTGAAGCCACCTTTACAAGCAGTTACCTACTTGCGGTTTAATATACATTAATTCCTTCGGAATCAGAATTTTTTATAGTTTAAATTCAAATCGAAGCGAATTTGAATACTCTACTCTTCGTTCAAATATTCGAAGCATTCAAATATTCGCACAAGCCTACTAGGTGTATGTGATAAGCATTCTCAAACAGTTTTCGGCGGGACCTTAAGGGGCCGCCCCCATTAGCTTATGCTTTGAATGTACTGTGCATGCGTTCCGTGCTGGTGTAATATTTTGTTCCAGGGCGCCTGCAGTGGCATGCAAGCACAGGCATTTCAGCGGACTTACCCTGTGTGTCGAGACCCATGCGCCCCGCTCGCCCCACCATCTGGTGGTAGGAGAGGGAATCGATGGGTCGCCCCTGGAAGTTGGCCGACCGGATAATGACCCGCCGAGCCGGAAGATTCACTCCGGAGGAAAGAGTCGTGGTGGCCACCAGGGCACGGATGGTGCCTTCCCGAAACGCTGACTCCAGTAGGTCACGCTCCTCCATCGTCAGGCCTTTGGTGACACAGAAGGAGAAAGGGAAAACATGCATCAGTGTCACAACACATCACCACAGCTGCTTCTCAAATCAATTAATTAATAAAAAAATATGTGCCCATCCATTTAAACGTATGTAGGATTAAATGTTTCCAACATTACTCAGCATGATAACAGTAATATTGACACAGTTGCGGAGCACAAATCAAACACGGACAACAAAGAGGACACCACACTGTGTTGTGTTCCTCTCCCCTTAGGCAGAACAATACCTCTTAAAAAGAAAAGAATGTTTTGAACGATCTCACCACTACACATGTGATTCAGTTATATAGTAAAACAAAAATCAACCAGATACTACATGGGGCCCTTCAAACTTATCTATCATATACTGAAAAATGACAGATCGCAGAAAGTTTGAGTGTGTTGGAAATTCATTACTATATTGTAGACACCGTGGCACCCGAAAACAACGTAAAACAAATGAGCATATACAGTTAAACCTGGTTAAACCTGGAATCAATTCCTCTATATAACGAAGTTTTTCTATTCCCACTGTTACTCCAAAAATGCACATGTATTTGCGACCTTTATGTAACAAAGTAACAGCGGCAGATATCCTTGATATAACAAACTTTTCCAACCAACAATCTCGAAATTTTACCCCGAATTTTGTCATTTTGGTACGAGCATGCACCTTCCGCAGGTGCCCCACCGCCGATGAAGTGGCAGCAGCAACTTCCAGGCTAGAGTGAGAGCTCATTACTGCACGCGGGTGTGCGCAGCGCGGGCAGGCAACCTGAGCCCCACGAAATGGCGCGGCCGCCATGGACGAATGCGCCCTCCCCCCTTCCAAACAAAAAAGAGAACTACTTTTGCGCTGGCATCGTCACGCTTTTAGTTAGTGTCACATATGTGGGACCACGCTGCATATAGAGGGGGCTTTACCTATTACTTTTTCGCGGTATCCGTGTCGGTCACTCTTCGTTTCCCATGCTGTGTGCGCGTGCATGGCTTCACAGTGCACGCAAGGTGGGGCCCCCTGAGGATGTTCAGCCTTCCTTTCTTTTTCTTTTCCTATGTGGGCAACCGTGTCGTCACTACCGAGGGGATGCCATATTATGTATTTATTTATTCAAGTACATCACGGGATCCCATTTAGAACATTATGTGACGAGGGTGATACATTAAAATTCAAATAGCACAGATCGTAAGTTAGTGAATACAGAAACAGGTAAGTTGTACAGAGAGAATACTAAATACAAGTCTTCCAATACACTGAACATAGTTAAACCTCGTTATAGCGAGATAGGTTATAATGAAATAATGAATATAACGAGCAAATCTTAATTCCCTGAAAGTCCCCCATAAAAACCAATGCATTCAAGGCATTATTTTAACGAGGTAAAATTGGCCGGTTATGAGATATGACGAACAAATCTTGTTAGGAAATCAAATTCTGAGCTGACTTCACGACTGCAAAATGAGAATTTGAGATGGTGCGCAACGCGACAACTGCAGCAGTTCAAAACTCCCCCCACGCATTCTCCAGCAATGCGGGAAAAGCTGAGGCACGCCAAGCACATGCTGTTTCTGGAGAAGAGGGTATTGCACGGGCGTTGCGTGTGCACCGTTTGGCTACCGCCGACAGCCAATAACACCGCGAACGTCTTGCCCTTTTCGTTTCTTTCTTTTGTGTCTTCTTTATACTCTTCTTCTCCCCTTCTTTACTGCGCTGAGTTGTGCTCCCTGACAGGCTCCAGTGAAGAGCACCCTTTCCACTCTAATCTCTTTCTCTCTGCACCCGCGAGCCCATTCCCAACTTCCCCACTTACCCTCAGTAGGCAAGGCCGCAACACGCCTGGCTGCAACCACTGCAAGTGTTGTCACTCGCGGACGTTAGCCACGTTATTTTTGCGTGCATGTTTTTTTCTTTTGTGCTTCAGCCCCATCTTTATCGTGTTGTGCTCGTAATTCCAGAAACATGAATGCCCCAGGTGAGAAACGAAAGCGTATAACGCTAGATCAAAATGTGGCTATGATAAAAGCCGCTGAGGCGGGAACAAAGACACTTTGACGTGTCGACAAGTACACTGTCCATGATCTTGAGCAAGCAGGAGTTCATCATCGACACGGCGGCGCGTGCCGTGAACGGAAACATTAAGAGGATGAGGACTGCTGCCTTTGAAGCAGTCGAAAGGGCTGTTTTTAAGTGGTTTTTGGACACGCAGGCCGTGCATTTGCCAGTGAGCGGTGCCATGCTGCAAACAAAAGCAAGGGACTTCACCTGCATCATGGGCTATCAAAACTTCGTTACAAGTTCGCCTTGGCTCCGACGTTTCAAGGAGCGCCATGGCATCTTCGGGAGAGTCGTCTGCGGCGAATCACAATCTGTCGACGAATCAGAGGCTACAAAGTGGGCGAAAGATAACATCGTGCGGTTGCTAGAAAAATACAGCGTGGAGGACATATTTAATGCGGACTAAACCGCTCACTTTTTCAAGATGTTGCCGCACAAGACTTTAGCCCTCAGAGGTGAGCCGTGCCATGGCGGCAAACAAAGTAAGCTGCGGATCACTGCGCTACTTCGTGTCAATATGACTGGTTCTGAGAAGCTGCCAATTTTCATAATTGGCAAAAGCAACCCCCCCCCCCCCCCCCGCTGTTTGAAGGGGAAGAAGCAGCTCCCAGTCAAGTACACGTCCAATTGCAAAGTGCAAAGCCTGGATGAGCAGGGGGATTTTCGCAAAATGGCTTTTGGAATGGGACGAGAAGCTGGCAAAGGCGAACCGCAAGGTGTGCCTTGTTTTAGATAACTGCACCGTCCACCACACCGCTGCCACGCTCCATAACATTGAGCTGTTGTTCCACCCTGCCAACTGCACAGCAAAAATACAGCCACTTAACCAAGGTGTGATTATGTCGCTGAAGGCAGGTTACCGCAAGCGCATGAATGACTGGCTTATGCTCAACATGAGGTTGAAACGAGACACTGATGTTGACTTGTACGCTGCCCTTGAAATGCTTCGAGCGGCATGAATGAGTGTGATGGCAACCACGATTGCAAATTGATTTCGACACGCTTCATTTGCCGCCGCACCAGATGCCAGCGATGAGCCATCATTGGACGAGCCTTCAGTGCCGGACAGTTTCGCCACATCGAACGAAGTCTCGGCATCATGGACGGCACTTCGTGAAGCGGGTGTCATGCCCAACAGCGAGTTGTTCTGCGACTATGTGAGAGCGGACTTGGAAGTGGTGGCAACAGAACAGCTCCCCGATGACGACATTGTGCGCGCTGTCAACGATCTGGATGACACCAGCGACAATGACTCTGTCGATGAACGGGAAACCACCGTGCGGGAGACCAAAGTGCCGGCAATGTCAGAGGCGTAAAACACAGTGGACGTGCTGCGTCGCTACTTCGGTTCTCACGAGGGCAGAGAAGACGGCTTGAACATTGCGGCCACAGCTGAGCGAGCCATCATTCGCATTAAGAAGATGCACCAGCGTCCGATTATGAACTTCTTTGAAGCTAAGTCTGTTTGAAGTGCAATAAAGTAAGTGCATGACATTTCTTTTTTATTTGCGGAATGTGGTTATTTTGTTCCATACCACCATGAGACGAGATACTATTTCGCTCGTTATTTGTTTTGGGTAAGTACAGTGCATAATATTTGCAATAAATGCCCCCTGCAGCTAAAAAGAAAGATTGGTTATAACAAGCAAATCGCAGCGGCCCTCCAATTTCATTAAACGATGTTTAACTGTATTAGTAGTAATAAGGCTGAAGGTGACGGACGAAATGCACAATAAAAGACACTTGGTTCAACCACATGATTTAAACAAGAGGGAGCATCCTGAGCACAAGCCAAAAGTCCAGGCTATGCGGGAAAAGAACACAAGCATTAAAAAAAGCTATGAAAACATAATATGTACAGTTAAACCTGGATATAACGAAATTGATGAAGTCTCAGAAAAGTTCGCTAGAAAGAGGATTTCGTTTCATGCAGGTTCGGTACGAAAATTTGAAAAATAAGCGCACAAATTAAACAGGAGGAGTACTGAAGGAGAGCTAACCCAAAACACTTATTTTACAGTAAAAAAACTTATTATTATTGCGATAGCCATTACATAGATACACTCGGCAGGATTTTTCCGTCGCCGCCATATTCCGTAACAAGTCCAAATTGATAATATGCTCCCGCGCATCGCAACTTTCACGAGCGGGTAAAAGCGCGCTAGCGCTGCTAAAGCAGAGATCAAATCAGCCAGCCCATTCTTATCGCCTAGAAAGTGCATAAGATAACCCCACGAGTTAGAACTGCCGTCGAATGCTCAAACAGAGAGTAAACCACCTATCTTGAATGACCATGAAACAACACGGAGAGGGCTGGGGGAATCGATCAAGTAGCATTAATGAACTTGCATTTAAAGGGCGGTAACGATCGCTGTCACACTTGCTCTTTCGGCAATTAAATCAGTGCGCGTTTAACGCGAAGAGACTGTCTGAAAAGGGCACTTCTCCTTGGTGAGAAGTGCTCCCATGGAGTACCAGCATTTTGTAGGAGTTCCGCGATATTTGATCCAAAAGAGTTGGCTGCAGCCTTACTTCATATACCATTACAATTTCTTGCTATCGCGTTCATTGCATTGCATTCAATGCGCCATCGTGTTGCCAGAACTAATCAGCTAATCGTGAAAACTACCAGCCTGCTATCTCGCGGCGCTACACGAAAGCGCGTGACAAGTCGACCTAGGAGGAACCGTTGTCACCGTCGTCTCGGAGAGTTTCTATTAACGCCTCATCTGGGATCTCCTTGATGATGATGACACCGTTGTCCGACATTAAGAAAAGTCACAGTTTCGCCACAAGGGCGAGGCAATTAATGACTGCAATAGCAACAACTTTGAATGTAACGCTAAGAACGGCAAGCACGCACAAATGACGCATGAAAACAATTCACAAGACGAGAGCAAACTAACAACATTTACCGCTTGACACTTAACGCGCTGTT